TTGATTTTTACAATTTTAGTTTAAATATATAAATTATTAATGATCAGAAAATTACTGATTAAAATTCCGTTTTATCCTTAACTTAACCTGATATTTCTCTGATATTTCTATTATTTTCTATTGTTTAACTCTAATTAATGTCGATTTTAACCTGATCAAAATTTTGATCGTTCTCTATTAAGGTGACTCTCATAGGAAGACTTTTATGTGATTGATTGATTAAGTTATACAAAATTTGTAATTAATATTGTAAATATTTATACATGTCACGTGATATAATACATGATAATAAATTTAACTATTGTATTTAAAGTATTTAGCATTTAAATGTAAAATAAATTAAAGTATTAAGAATAAAAACTATTATTTCAAAAAATAGTTTAATTAATTAATTTTATATAATAGTCTTTAATTTTTGTAAAAAAAAAAAATTGTAAAAAAAATTTTTATTTTTATTGTAACTAAAATGCTTCTTTAATAAAGTTGTCCTTTTAAATGATCTATTGCTATTGAAATTATGCAATGCCTCTTCTAATATATATGCTACATATTCTATAGGTTCGTTTTCATCATCATCATCACATGGGGTATTGTTTTCCAGATCTTTAACTTTAGCTTGTTGTTCTTCTTCGAAGCGATGCAAACGTTCTAATAAAAACTGAACATATTCATCAATACCGTCTTGTAAGAATGAGAGGTAATGCATGCACTTGAATCTATTGTTTGTATAACAAGATTTGTGATAAGTGTGATCGCAAGCCAAAACTTGAATAGGATCTGTATTAAAAGAAATAGAATAGTTAGATGTATTGTAATATTGAAATGGATCTGGTCTATATAAAGTATTAAACCCTAAAGGAAAATGACACAATTATGCTTCTTGCATTTTTATTGCTGTTAATAAAATGGAAATTTCATTAATTTTATGGTGCTTCTTCAAAGGTATATTTGGATTCACCTGTAATAGAATTATTAATGACAAATTATTGTGAAATAGTATATGGATTTCTGAAAAATATTGTAAAAGGAAACATGCACTTTTCTTTGTTAAATAAGTAATATCTCAGGCAGAATATTCATAGGTGACCATGTGAATGTGTAAGTGATGTTTTCTCTAAATCTGTTATCGTTCAGACATAATCAGTTGATAAAATATCCATATTTAATAATCTGCTGTGTCTCAGTGTATTTCTGTGTGCTCTGACATAGAAAGCTATAGAATATTTTAACAGTCGAGTCTGAAAACTTTAGAAGTTCAGCTTTAATATTTTTAAAATAGGATGATCATTTAACTCCCAGAAAAATATATCTGAAAGAAATATTAATGGTGCCTTAATATAGTTTTTGCAATAGAATTTGAGAAATATAACCTACACACGAATGCATGATTCTAGATAAGCGTCAAAATCACCAGATCAGAAAACACTGCATAAACGTTCAAAACTAGAGGAATTAGGTTATCAAGTAAATCTTTCAATGCAAGATATTCAGCATCTTTGCATAAGAATCCAAATTTCGCATCAATACTTGTCAAAATTTCCTGCTAAGCGCCACGAAAAATCTCTAAAAGAAGATTAATACATTATAGCTTGGGCTTTTGTGTAAGAGGACTTTGTTCTCTAAAAATATACTTGTATATAGCCAAAAAAAGGCTGATATTGAAGAAATATTAGTTCTCAACTATTTAACGAGATATGCAAGGGACCTATAATAGGAAGAAATGATAAAATAAAATTAGTGATATTTGATCGATCACGATATAAGATAAAACGAGAGATGGCTGTTCTAAGGTAGATTTATCTAGGCCAATCAGCAACGACAGGTATAATATATTCCTCTTGAATATATTGTTGTATAGATGGAACATTTACAACAGCATTAATGGCCTTGATATATACATTTAAAGAATGGAAATTATTTTCTTGTAAATCTATAAGGACTATGTCTTTCATCGAACGAGCATCCTATTTCTCTTTCAATCTAGTGTCATAACTATGTATGGTTAGCTCTTCTAATTTAGTACTATCATCAATTGAACAGAATCCCTAGCATTGATTATGCGAAAGACTAAGAAGCATCATGAATTTATTATTTAGATTTAGTTTTATCAACTCTGCGTCAACCAACCTAGGGTTGTGTATATTCATATTTAGAATCGCACACTGTGTAGTGATCAGATTCATTAAAATTGTTGTCAAGTGTGCTGTAATAAAAGTTGTGGTCGTGTTTAACATCCGTTTTGTATGGATACTATGATAATCATCGATATTTAATATTATTGCCTTTTCTGCATATTCTGCAAGTGTAGAATCGACAGTTTTAGTATGATCATTAGATATGGTAGTTTTATGTCACACAATTGTATGAGATGTTGTAGTTACACCTAGATCAGCAAGAGTATCTATGAAGGCATTAGAAACACCAGTAGAATTCAAGTACATCATCAATTCTTCCTTTGCGACATTAACGAATTTACTATAAATTCTGCAGAGAAAGTAGCATATATATATAAGAGCTGCTTTTTCGCCTGTGCTTGTGAATTTCATTTTTTGAAAAAGGGTTAGAAGAAAGATATAACTCGTCAAAAATGAATTTAATCTTACATCTTCCTCTTTCATAACTGCATGAAATTCATCAAATAAGTACATCACTGATTTTTTTTCCTTCTTTTCACAGTATAAAATATTAGTAATTATTTTTATTGCTTTAGAGAAGGATAAATAAAAGGTAAAGTGATGACACCTGAAGTGGAAGCGGTGGTAGTGGCAGAGCTAAAGGTGGTAGTGGTAGTGAAGGTTGAACTGGAGGTGGAGGTGGAGGTTGAACCAGAGGTGGAGAAGAAGATTCTAGAACATGTTTTTGGAATGCAAGTGAGCAGTTTACTACAATTCTGTTATAATAGTTTAAGCAAATCTTATCACCTATTTGTAAATATTCTGGTAAAGTTTTGTTAGTTTAACCTTTTGAAATAACGTATTCAGTTATCTTTTTTCATCATACTGACTGTTGGGTTTGGCATATTGTAATTACACACAATTCTATTAAGAGTACTTGCCTCTAAGTAAAGTACCTTTAGATTTTGGATTTTTTAAGATTATTTTGCACAGTGAATGTTAATATACTTTCGAAGCTAGAGAAAAATTTTTTTTATTTTTTTTATGTGAAACGTTACAATCTCAAAAAGTACTCTAAACTATATAAATAATGTATCCGGTAATTGAATAAGATCAGCCAATCATGTGAATGTCCGTCTATGAGACTTAACAACAGTCCTTGTTTCCTAATTTTATATTTTATTTATACTAATATATTAATTTAAAAAGTCTATATACTATATAATCAATGAATGTTAGAAAAAATTTATGAAACTATATCCTTAAATTGTATTAAAAGGTTATTATATTCTAACTAACTGAATTGATAAAAATCACATAGGAATCTCTTGATTCAAATTTAATTAAAAATTTATTTAAATACTGTAAAATATCTATTATAAAGTATTTAAATTTAGCATAATAAATTTAATTTTTATTTATATACTTGATATTTTAATTATAATAGTTTAATTAAAATAAAAATTTTAGAAAAAAAATTGGTAATGATAAAAATGATCAAAAATATTTTATATTATATTATATATTATACTATTATAATATTTAATAAGAAAAATATTATAAAGAATATGTCAAATATGTTAAATATATCTAATATATCAATATATTTGATATATCAGATAAATCTAATATATATTATATATTAGATTTATATTAAAAAATATATAAAGGGAACTAAATTCACAATAAGAAAATAACTATTATTTGTTAGATACAATTTAATCAGTTCACTTTTAAAATATGCGTAACCTTTAATTAGTGATGTTTTCTGAAAAATTGAAAGCATATTGAATTTCCAATCCTTCCAATTCTAATGCTACTTCCAATTTCAATAAAAATTTATTGAAAAATTGAAAGCATTTTATCACGTGATACTTTTTTTATCCAATAATATTCAATTATAAATTTTATTAAACTTTATTCATTTGATGCTACAATTAAGTAATTAGGAGCATTGAGAGAAGTAATAAATAAATTTTTAAAATCTTATTTTGCCTTTTTGTCTATTGCTGAATATGTATATTCATTTAAAAGATCACCTTGTATACTATTATTTGAATTATCTCTTAATGCTTCTTCTTCTTCTCTTCATGCTAATTCTTTTTCTAATAACATTTCTTTTCATTCCCTTAATTCTTATTCCCAATGTTTAGAAATAATAATATTAGCATCATCTTCAATATCATCTTTACTGTCATCATCATTTAAATTTGATGCAAGAATTTAGAATTTTTAAAATCCATTTCAATTGGATTAGTATTTGGATCCAAAAATTGTATTTGATATTGTTGTAATTCTTTTTCTCTTAATGAGAAATTAATAGATACACAAAGTTAATTTATTATTAGCACTTTATTATTCTATAAATTAAATACAGTCAGACCTGTATATAATCATACTATATATAGTCACACCTTTATATAAGAACATATTTTTGTAGAACAGACTTAAAGTATATTAAATTACCTCTTTATAGTCACAAATCAATTATAATCACTATCACATAAAATTCTTAATGTACATATTATTTCTATTAAAAAATCTACCTCTTTATAATCACAAGGTTTTTGATTGATTTATATCAAAAAGATCTGATTAGTTGCATATCATAGTTTAAAAAGGTTTGATAAGATTGATAATCAATAATTTTATATAGATTTTAAATGTAACATGCTTAAAATGTAATACTTAAAAATATAACGCACAAATGTTATAATTTTTTTATTCTATAGAGAGTTTTTTTTTCACATCATATTAATATATTAAATAAAAAAAAGTGATGTTTAAAATGTCATGCTTTTGTGAGAAATTCTTTTTTTTATTTTCCAGTGAACCCCTTTTAACATTTACATCTTCTTTCTCACCAAGTAGTATTTCCTTCCTATAATGCCTATTGACCGTCTTAAAAAAAGCTGTTTAGCAATAAGTGTTAGCCTTAAACACCAAATTTGTAAATAGTCAAATAAAAATAAAAATAAGAAACAAGAGAAAATTGTCATCCATTTCAATAAACAAAATAAAACTCTAAATATTGATTGTAATACTATGTCAAAGATATTGGTACAAAGTGAAAAATGAAGTACTATATTAGAAATTGAAGGTTCTAAAGAAATTTACAAACAAAAAGGAGTCAAATTTCTAGAACTTAACAGGGTTATGAATTTGTGAATAGAAAATATAATAGCAAGTGATATGATCCTAATAGATGCATTAATAAAAGAAAAGGCAAGATTTTTTGCCAATATATTTTTTATAAGAAGATGAGTTAGTATTTTCTAACGGTTAGTTAGATAGCTTTAAAAAATGTAATAATATTTGCCAGTATCAGATACATAGAAATCTGAAAGTGCGCTAATAGTATCCCTACTAAAAAAAAATTAAGCTTCATCAGCTTTTAAGTTGATATATTCTTGATAGAATTTACAATATTGATAAGACAGGTCTTTATTATAAAATATCTTCAAATCAAATACTTTTGACTAAACTAGTTCATAGCGAAAAGAAGGACAAAATATGAATTATAATTCTTGGTGTAAATACAATAGGAACTGATAAACTTAAACCATAGATAATTGGTAATGCGAAATGTCTAAGACTTCTTTTGAAAATTAATTTAGAATAGATTTCAGTTCATTATTGTAGAAATCCAAAGGTATGGATGAACTCAACAATTTTTGAAGAAGTTCTTTGTAAATTGAATAGCTATTTTAGAGTAAAAAATAAAAAAATCTTGCTTTTGATTGATAATACACCATCACATTTTGATCTACATTATTTATTGACTGAGCAAGATGTAGATAATGATGAAGAGACTGAATCGATATCTAGTAAGTTTTGAAATTTAAATTCTTTTTATCTTTTCATTCATTATATAAATTTTAATATAACTTACTATTAGAATTCATTATCAGAGATTTAATTGAAAAATTATAGTTTATTAATTGTCATATACACATTTTTTTGTTACATATTTTTTTTGTTACATATTTTTTTTATTACATATTTTTTTTTGTTACATTTTTTTTATTACATTTTTTTTTTGTTACATTTTTTTTGTTACATATTTTTTTATTGTTATAAATAAAATTTATTTATTATTACATAATAGACATGATAATTAGCAAATATTTAAATAAAAATAATTTACCTAAATTTTTTTATATAGGTAATTGAGCTTCAAGAGGCTATAGTAATTGTAGATTTAGAACTGTAATAAGGTCACGGTGGAGGTTGTGGTAGAGGTCATCATGATGAAGATCATAATAGTGAACTAAGCAATTGTGAATCTGAAAGCCACAGACCTAGTATTTCTCAGCTTCAATTAAATCATATTGAAGTGGCTTTTTTACCACCTAATACTACAAGTCACCTTCAACTACTCGATGCTAGGATAATTGCAAGCTTTAAAAGTCATTATAAGAGGAATTTTTGCCATCATATGTTAAACCTCTTTGAAGATGGCAAAGATATTAACAAAGAAAAAATCAACATTAAAGAGGCAATTAATTATTTAGTAGATGCATAGAGACAAGTAACCAAAGAAACTATAAATAACTGTTAGAATCTTACCTTCCTTAACTGATAAGGATATTGATAATGCGACATAAATTCAACAAAATTCTACAGATTGTAAAGCAGCAAATATTGATCAAATCATTGAAAAAATTGAAAAATTTAGTAATGATTCTTATAATGTTTTATTAAAAAATGCATTAACTAATTTCTTTCATGAATTAGAAAATATTTCAACTGAAGATACTCTAGACAATGATGATATTATATAATTGGTTCAAGAGGAAATGCATGATGAAGATAATACTAATGACGATTCTGAAGAAGAACCATTACTAGTATCTTCGGATGAAGCTTTAAAATCTTTACAAACTTAGATTACATTTTTTGATCAGCAACAATTAGACAAATTTAGCATTGAAGTTTTAAAAAATACTTAAAAATAGTAAAGCAGCTTAAACTGCAATTTTGAAAACAAGTTCCAATTACTAATTTTTTTAGCAGTCATGAATTTAATAATTGATTTATAAGTTTTAATAAATATAATAATAAAATCAATTACAACTGAATAAATCATATAAAAAATAAAATTAAAGTTGTGTTTCTGATTTTCTAATGGAATTTCACAGTGATTTACAGTATATTTTATTTGTGAAACCAATTTAACCTTTAATAATCACCACATATTTTTTTTAATATATTTGTGACTATATAGAGGTAAACCTTTTACAATCACACCTTTATATAGTCACTCATTTTTATAGAACCAATCATGTGACTATATACAGGTCTGACTGTATATTAAATAAATTATAAATAAATAAACCCGTTAAACAAATCAGTTAAATTAATAAAAAAATAAACAAATCAATCATTAATAAATAAACCAATTATCAATACCGATTAATGACCATTATAAGTAAATGAAAAATAAATTAATAAATAAACAAAATCTGAAAACTTACCGTTAATCGATTACAGTGAACTGTATGTAAAAAACCCATAGATCACATTCATTCAACTGAAGCTGCATTTATACATATCCCAAAAATTTTTAAAGCAATGGCAGCTAATTCTTTACAACTACCTTCTACATAAGACCAAAATTTAAAGACATCATTCCCAAATTGTTCAAAAGTTTCATCATTAAATGATTCAACTTTTTGATGAAAATACCCTATTATTAAGTACCTCTGTCTTTCGAAAGCTTATATGCCATATTTCTTTGAAGACATCTTCCGCTAATTATGTAGTACAAAATTTAATTGGTGATTGCAGTGACTGATAATCAGCTACTAATTATTACAAACAACAATATTAGCACTTGGATTAAGAATCTCATAACCCCAACATTGCTCTTCTTCAAGTTATTCCTTCGATTTGAAAGGTCAAGTATGATTTTACAGTTGCGTTTCTTTCAACCCGGCGTTTCCCCAGCCCGTAAGTCCTGAGGGGTTTCGTCTTCCTCTGGTTGTGGTTGACGAAATGGTTATCTAGCGATTTTTAGAGGATAACTCAGGTTCTAGTTTTCAAATCTAGCGTTTCCCCAGCCCGTAAATCCTGAGGGGTTTCGTCTTCCTCTGGTTGTGGTTGACGAAATGGCTACATATCGTAGCGATCTTAGATTATCCGAAAAAAGTTTCGGGTTAAAAATAAAGAGCGTTTCTCAATTTTATTCTAAGACTTTACTTACTATACGTATTTCTTCTTTATTTTATAGGCGACATGGTTGTCTCAATCGATTCTTTATCGTCGTTAAAATTGATTCAGGCTATTAACTTATCTTTCTCAACAGGCATATGTCGAACAATTAAAAGAACTTATATCAGACAAAAACTTTAATGCTGTCAAGTTTTATAAAAATTTAAATTTCCCTTTCGCTCGAAAGAAAGAAGCAGAAGAAGTCTTACACGAATCATTGAAAATTATCTCATCCGAAAATAACGTGAAAGCTCGGAAACTGTTGGCAAATTTTGACAAACTTATCAACGCCAACTCAGTAGTGACCTACTGGGACGGTATCTATATACAAAATGAAAAAAATAAAACTCAATTTATTAAAGATGCATTGAAAGAAAAGGATGTTAGTATATATGCGTTATCTGTATTTTTAATGGAATGGTTATTATGGTACTAATTTGTTTATTCAAATAATCTAGAAACAGGAATCTTACCAAATAAAATTAAATGTACGAGAAGAGCACATTATTGAAAGTAATCTACTTTTAGCAGAAAAAAGAAAAAACAAGGAAGAATTTTTAACTCCTCCAAACAAGGTTATAACTACAACTTATTTGGTAAGAAAAGTTTTTATTTTTCTAACTTATTCTCAATATCAATGCATAGGTCAGGATTTGTGATGCAGGGTATAATAGTGATTCTAGTGAAGAGTCATACTCGAGCCCTGAGTATGAGGTTGCACCAAGATCACTTACAAATGTTTTTCTTGAGTTAAAAGATTCTTGTGCTAGTGGTGAAGTTGATGATGGTACTATTTTTAAATCTATGAATAATGGGGGTGATTATATCTTGGAACCTAAGGATAATCATGAACGAAGTAATGTTGAAGTACAACAAAAACTTATTTCAGAATCAGTTGAAGGAAACCATCCCGAAGTAAAACAACATGACAGTGTACCAAAGCGAAAAGTTGCAAGTAAACCTAAATATATACAGCATGATCTTGCACAAGATTTACTTTCAAGTTTACGCTTGTGTCCTTTAAAAGGGAATAAGTGGTTATGGAATGGACTTGAGATCTGTAATTATTTACAAGATGATAATAATACTAGAACGTAAGTAGTTTTTTAATGTCTGAATATGCCATCTTTTACAATTTTATTGAACTCGGTTTATTTTGAACAGGCCATTAAACATTGGTGTTGTGAATTTTCATAACAACTTATGTATGGAACCCCTTCCATCATCAATGATTACCTATATTCAAGAACAAATGGAAAATGAAGATGTTAACACAATCTTCTTTGATGATGGCAAAAAATTTGGAATAAATAAGTTTTCAATTGACATTGATGAAGATGTTATGAAATATCTGGATGCATTTCAAGATTGTGTAAGCTTCTTATGTTTTTACAAAATTTGATGACAGCTAGACTAAAATTTTAATTTTTTTATCTTTTTACAGACTTCTCTAGACGCATTACGAAAAACTCTGCATGAGAATTCAGTTCACAATTGCCCAAATCTCAATTTTAACATTAGCTATATTTACAGTTTTTTTAATCACATGTATGAAAAGCCTTTCTGATTGAATAACATTGTTGCATTTCAAATATTAATCTTTCATATTCTGTTATTTTATGAACAGGTATAACCTCTATTCAAATGAGACGTTATCTCATGCCCTTACTGAATATGAATATGATTCATATGTGTGGACACCACTTTTGTGTAATGCGTTTATGGAGAAAGGGGATATTCAAATTTCTAGGTATGGTTAAATGTTTGACCTACTGTGTTATTATTACTATTACACATTTTCTGTGATAATTATTTACATCATAATTGCACAATTTAGTGGTGAAGTTTCATCTGTAGCATATGACAAGTTGAAAAAACTTGCCCAACTTCAAACAAAGAGTGGTCCAAAAATTGACTCAAAAGCAACTATTATTTCAATCAGCCAAGAAGTATTAATACGGGAGAATGGAAGATATGATATTGCAAGTAAAAGGAAGAGTGACTTATCAAAGTTAGAATATTGCTCAAAGGTGCTACTTGCCAGTGCATACCTTGCCTTACCAATCGTCGCACGTTCGGATATTCATATGTTTGAAATATACGCCATCCAAACAAATGGTAAATACTTTTTTATCTAACTTCGTAATTAGTTGAATATGGGACTAATATTCTTCCAGAGCTTTCATTATCACTATTTGTAGCATCCTATATATTCGAAAACACAATATGTATGCTTGGTTTAACTGATATTATAATTCCACGAACGGTTGATGCTTTCCCAAAATGCGTTGAAGCAGTTTGTAAAGTGTTATCATGGAAGGTTTGCGTTCTACTTATTATTATGGTACTCATTTATATTCCGGTTCATTAACTAATTCGAGCCTATATAGGCACGATCCAGAAATAATACTAAAACTTTTCATGAATTAATTGGTAAATCGGCTTCCCGATTACGTGAGAGAAAATATTTCACTCCGAAAAAGCTTGCGAATAGATCAAAGTCGTAATTCAAAAGACAAAGTTAAAGACATTGTTATTATAGCCTACTCAATAAAATCTCCGTTTGTTTACATTCAATTGAAATGGAAATCCTGAACCTATATATTCATAATAGTTATCGCCGTATGTTTTGTGATCATAAAACAAAGACCGATTCGTATATTTTCTATCATTGAAAGGACTCAATATTTGTTACAATTGCCGATAATTTGGGAATATTTACAAGTCTACTGTTGGATCAATAGACACTGGGATTTAGCTGTTCCAACGAAACCTTTGACTACCTTTACTTTCACTAAAAATACGATTACGTGGTAATAATAATCCTGATGTCCAAGATCTAACGAAAATCAAAGGCAAGCTCGCCTCTGATACGGAAAGGTGTTTTGCACTATTAGGGGATGAACAAGGTGAATTTAAATGTCAAATACGATTTTTATTAGAATAAAAAGGACTAACTAAACTTATAAGGGTACTTATGAGATTTTCTGTTAATTACTCTAATTTAAAGGAATTGTGCTGAAGATGCTGATTTCTAGGAAAATGTATATATCTTCACTAAGTTAATTAACTGATATTTCGATAAAATGGGGAATTTAAAAGTGACAGAAATACAAAAAATCTGCAGTCCGTGTAACTTACAGGAAATGCACTATTAAATCACAAGGGGGAAATTTTTAGAATTAGGTATAATAGGAGAAGCACAAAAAAGAAAACCGGAATATGTCATTCATAATACGTGTTTCTGACATTACTCTCCGGATGCTGAGTTTGTTTTCCTTTTATTTCTTCTATTTTTGTTTTTTTCTTGGATCACTATGAGATCAAGAAGTAGTCAAACGACGCTAGCACAAATGAAATCAACTAGGACTCACCTTTCAGAAGTTCTAGAATCAAACCCTGTTCCTGCTAGAATGATTGCAGCTACCACTAATTCTGAAACTGATATCACGACGTCACCAATGTCGCTAATAAACAAAATCAGGTTGTGTTTAGTTTTTTCATTAAAGAAAAATAGATCTTTGATTTTTATTTTTATTTACTTCTTAAACATAAAATCTAACCTTTACATTTTTTTAAAAATATTAAAAATTACTATTTTTTGGGATGATACATACAGTAATCCGCATTGCTAAATTTTGGTTAATTCTTTAATTTCTGAATTATAAAGTTATATTATATGTATGAAATACAGGTTAAAAGGACAAATAAATAAATAAGATAATTTTGTGAAAAAATTTTTTATATTTTTATTTTATTAAATAAATGAATTAAACAAATAAAATGAAATATATATTTTAAAAACGTGTATATATAATTAAATAATAATATATATATATGATTGATAAGTAATAAATAAGTGATCAGTAAAAAAAAAATCCTTTAAATTTTTCTAATGTCCCTTTATTTCTATAAACCTAGTATATAAATTATATAACTAATTAAAAGTAAAGATGCAAGAGGAAAGAGAGAAAAGAAACGTAAGATATGTTTCTTCAAATAAATAATCAAAAAATCCTTTACACACTTGCATACTTTCATAATCTTCAATTTCAGAAAATTTCAAGAGGTCAGTGTTCCTATCAAAAAAAAAAGATAAAAAAAACGTTCTTTAAACAAATAATTTTTTTTAAAAAACTTACATTCTGTTAACATATTTCTGTAACGTTAAATTTTATGATGCCTGATCCTAGTGGTATCCATACAAATGAAAAAACCTCCTTCTTATTTAAATATTTGTAAAGTCATCCAAGTTTTAAGAAGGTAGTTTACCCCTAAAAAAGTTTAAAGAATAATCAATATATTCAGCCTTTTCCTTCTTTTTTTTTATAAATAAGTATGACCTAAATTTAATCAAATTCCTTTCTCACAAAGATAATGGCCTGTCAAATTTGTAATATTTTTACATTCAATAATGAATATAAGATATTAACTGATCTATCAAATGATATCACGTTATATGCAGATAATCTTAATTATATATTACCATTAACTCTGATTGATGATCATCATACACAGTTACCATCACCAGTTTTTCACTTATCACACTAGAGGTCTTATCTTAAATTATAAAATCTGTATGACAGGTAGCAATAGCATATAATTCAGGACATGCTATTTTCATTTTTTTAATTTAGTACGATTGTTTTATGCAATATATTATAGCATTAGAGATTGTTAAACATTGATACATAACCTTAAATTAAAACATTTTAAAAATATTAAATTCATTTTAAATATGTCTTTTTTCATCTCTGATCATAGATTCCAGAACAATATCCTAATCTAATAGCCTTAAATTATCTGTATATATTGCGAAAAACTCTTATATCCTGAAAAAACTTCTTAAATATTCTAATGATCTTTTGATTACTTATCCTTTGGAGTAGCATGTACTAGATATTACTTTGTTCTTCAACTTTAATATGAACAAGATCTCTAATATGAAAATTTTTACATGTGATTCTTATAAGAAACCTTTAACTAGATATACTTTTTCTTATCTTTTTTTAATACTGGATGAGATCAGATTAGTCCCTCTTAATAAGAGAAAATACTTGTCACCTGTTTATTTATATTGTTTCTTAGAAAGAACTCTTAACAGTAATTCATATTCATAATATAAAAGTTTGACTGATGCAATAAATTATTCATGAAAAATTAGAGCATATGCCTTTTATTCTGAGACTTTAGGTACTTTCCTAGATCTAGACAATAATAATGATAATGATAATGTCTACTTAATTCATGATGAAACTATACAACAGGCTGCTGTTTGGTTATCACATAATAATCCTTATCTCTAACCATTTGCTAAATGTTATTTTCAAATTAAAGATAGACCTGTTTATGAATAGAAAAGGTTTTTATCCTGTTATTACAATATGCTAGTGAAACTCGTAATGAGACTTATGATAAATATATCAAATTACGTCTTATGAATATAAATTCAAGATAGAGGTTATATCACTACTGGCCTTTTTGATCCTACCTTTAGTTAGAAAAGTTGAGACACATCAAAATACACAATAATTTGTACGTAAATCTCAATTGAATTTTAGTTATATAATAAATATTCTATTAGCTAGGGATCTGCTCTAACCTAATACATATACTTCATAAAATATCATTAATAAAAATCTAATATTTCCCATACTAACCTTTGTAAGAACAGGTGACATATACTTTTAGCAGAAATAACTGCATCTGAATATAATGTTACAAAAAAATGACCTTTTAACTTTGTTTATAACCCTCAGTATGGCTGAGAACTAATAGATCCATCTACGTGATATTCTATCTACTAGTGATAATAATGATACATTACTAACAAATAGATCCTTTAATTGTGCAAATTATTTTATACACGTTTCAATCATTAAAAAAAAAATTATATAAAAAACCATAACTCATAGGATTTGGTAAAATTACAAACTTTTTTGATTGTGTTGAGTTTTAAAATCAAAGTATAGCATATACATACAGCTATTATTAGACAATTAATATTATTAAGACTATGATTGTAAATAAATAATTCAATCCACAGTTTCAAATTCTGTATACGAGCCTGAACTCTACATTGCTATTATCATCAATTAGATTTATACCTATAATCATAAATGCCAAGGTTCAGTACCTTCAGGATATACTTGTAAAAAAGGATTCTCACAATCTTTTAGTGAAATAATATACTATGAAGAAGGTAATTCCTGCTATATTTATAAATGCTTAACTGAAGCTGATAGATAGATTGTTTCCTATTATTCAGCCATTCTCTTAATCTGGAATACACATATAAATGCTCAATATATAACAGATAAAGAATTTATATACTATATGATAAAATACATTACTAAGAAAGAGCCATTATACATATTTAATATCTGTGAAAATGACCTAATAAAGAAACATATTATTGCACGTCATCTTGGCTTAATAAAGCTTATATTCTTGCTCTTAGGTTATTCAATCTGTAATTCATCAGCCACTGTAAAATTTGTTATAACTTAACCTCCTTCTACATATTTATATACAATACTTTCTATTTATATGTTAAATGAAAATGAGGAAAACTCTTATTATGATGATACAATCATAAAGTATTTTGCATGTTCATGTCTTTCTAAATTTGAGAATCTTATTTACTTTCAATATTATAAACAATACTCCATTACCTTTCATTCCCTCAAATCACATTGTGTCAGATTTTTCATGATCTTCTAAACAACTATGTAGTGAAGAGGACAAAAGAGATTTTGACAAAATACTGATTTCTTAAATTAGAAAATGGAGAATTCTATTTTTATCAAAAACTACTTTTAAATATTTCTACAAGAAATGAATCAGACTATATCATAGAAGGAGAACTTACTGTGATAAGTTTTTATTATTATTTCCTAATTTCCTAAATGATCTACAAAAATATCACAACTACACATCAATCTCAGATTCAAAAATGCTAAACAGATTATTACAAACCTTACATCAGTAACTTCCTGCAAATTTTTTATATATCATTCAAATTTAGATGGAGAACTTGAAAATTATTTCACATATTTTTCTTAAAACAATTATACTTGAATTATTCTGAGATCAATATCATATCTTATCAACCATTTTCATGTACATTGAAAAGAATGATAGAATAAAATGATTTACTACTTTATTACAGGATCAGAAGACACAGAAAAGTCTTATATTATTAATTTAATTATAAATATGCTTAACCAAAGATGTTCAAAATACCTCCTGCTAGCTCTAATCAGAATGATCACTCAAAATATAGGTAAAAAAACAATTCATTCAGAATTACATATTGTATTAACTTCAAGAGATTTTTATCCATATGCTTTTGCTGACGAGAAGTTAAAAAACCTTCTAAAAAATGTTAATATCTTCATAATTGATAAGATTTTTATGATTTCTGTTGAACTGTTTGATTTTATTTCTGATATCTTTACAACTATTTATAGTAATACTGTTATCTTTAGTGATATAAACATTATAGTAATTGGTGACCTCGCTCAATTTTCTCTAGTTATTGAACAACAAGTATTTTGAGCTACTGTCTAGAAATTATTCTATCCTTTTTTCCTAAAGATCCTACAATGCCAACAAGCAGACATGAGATTTTTTCACATGTTATAAAAAATTCGTAAAGGCAATATCTCAGAAAATACCTAGAATATATTACAGTAATATCATTTAAAATTCTTGTCTCACCCTGCGATTGATATACTTCTTAATACTACCAATATTATAGGTTTTAAAGAAAATGCGTAACAGATCAACAGAATAATTTGCAATATGCTTCCTATTTCATATGATCATTTTCACATTTTACAAGCATTAAACTTTATTGATTTTACAAATTAGACTCTTTCTTTTTCTAACAAAATGTTCAAAGCAAAAACTAACCTTCTATTAAGTATACGTTTACAATTAGGTACCTGTGTTATATATCTTAATAATTCATTAATTGATCAGGATATATGTAATGGTACTGTGAGTGTATTACAGATGTGAATATGCTAAATAAGTGTATTTGTGTTGCTTTTTTAGTTTAAGATTCTATAATTGATATTGACGTCTATAAACAGACTTATTACTTTAATATAAATTAGAAAATGGCTCACTGTTATTAAGTTCAGAGCTAGGATCTTAACTAATAAAAAATGATGAATGGTGTATCATGTGATTATCCTAAATTTTAATTAAAATTAATCCTGATTTTTCATGACACAAAAAATACTTATGGGAAACTCTGGAGTAAGATGCCGATCATTACCTGATCAAAGGTGTGACCAACAGATAAAGTGTTACCTCATTATACTTTGGAAAATTAGATTTTAATTTGAAACAATAAGATTTGATTACTTAATTGTCTAATTACCAATTTGTTAATATTAAATTTTAAATGTTAATTGTTCTTGCTTTAATTATTCTTTTATTATTTAGATTTTATAATGTAAAAGGGTAGGATTTTAATCATGTAAATGAAAGAATATTGTACTTAATATTTTAGTTAATAAAGATTTAATTTTATGAAGACTCTGTTTTTCAATTTCTATAGAGTTATATTCATAATAAAGTATTCATAATAAAGATTAAATAAAATTGCTTAAGATTTTTGCATTTAAATTCACTATACAATGAAAAAATGAAGTACTAACTTTGAGACACTTCAAAAGAGAAACAGCCAAAAGAACGAGATGGATAAACAGCACGATGCATGTCTAGAATATGATCGCAAAAGAAAATGTAGAAAAAAAGTTAATGAAACTGAGGAAGAGCATAATGCGTGACTTGCAAATAATCATGACCGTAGAGCACAAAGAAATTCAACAGAGACATCTGAGGAACGTAGGAACTGTTTTGACTGTGAAAGTGAGCAAAAACATGATGCGTAACTTCAAAGACGTCAAGAAACAGCCAAAAAATGTCATGAAACAACTGAAAAATGTCAAGAAAGAGCAGAAAAAACTAATGTTAGACCAAAAGCAGCACAAATGATTAGTGAAGATGAACATTGGATGTTGCAAAACTTTCGTAAAAAAATGGATAATATTCGATACTCATCATGTCCCATATGTAATAAGCAAATCCTATCAATGTCTCTCGTAATGGAAAAGTGTCGGTGATGCTACATGGAAAAGACGGTACCTAATAAATTTTCTACAGAAAATAATATGGATCCAGGTAACGTTCCTGATGAATTTAAAGGGCTAACAGAAGTCAAAGAAATGCTTATGATGCAAGTGTTTACTGTTATGACAGTATATCAACTCCGTAGAGAACAAACTGGGTATAAGGAGAATGTCATTAACTTTCCTCAAGACGTTCAATGATTCACAAATCGGCTTTCACAGAATCTATTATCTTTAGATGTACTTGTTTTACGTCAGAAATCAGCAAATGATTCAACGGTTTTCAGAGACTTTATTGTACGTCGGGGTAAAGTTGTTAATGCTCTGGTGTGGCTAAAAGCAAACAACCATTACTATAAAAACATAATTATCGATCAAGAAATACTCCAATCTTTACCTGAAAATGATTCTATCACCAAAATGCTTCTGCAGCTACAAAATGAACGATTAATAGACGAGATTTCAGTAGATGAAGAAAATGGAGATGATGGAATAATACATTCATTTGTACCTTCAAATATTCCAAGACCAAGAGAAGACGTCACTATTAATGACACACTTAATCGCATGCAAAGTAATAATACAACTTTACTATAGCCAGAGATTGATGGCTTCCTATCAATGAGTTTCAGACGTCCGGTTATATAGCGAGAGCATTTCCAACACTTTATCCATATAGACAGGATGATCTTTGTTCTGAACGGCCTCAGGATATAAAACCAGCAGAATATTTTAAGCACTTGATGTGGTATAAAGATGGTCAATTTGCGAGACATCCACGTTAGAAGTATTTTATGTTAAACTCTACGATGAGATGGAGGGCGCTACAAGAAGGTTCTATTTTCATAAGACAGAATTTAAATGATGGACCTATCGATGTCACAGATATACAGGAAATGATTGCTGAAGATGACAAAAACCTGACTGATAAAATCATGAGATATGGCGAAGGGTTATACAATACATGACAGTTCTGAACAGCTCGAAGTTCTGAATTATCAGACTTTGTTAAGCAAATAGGCCATCAAGGTCTAATTTTTTTTACATTTAGCACTGTGGATTTTCATTAGTCAGAACTTCACAAGTTAATGTCAGATGAAAAAAATTCAAGAGAAGAGTCTGATTTGGCAAAACAGCGTCAACAGAATTTTATCAATAATCCACATATAGCCATTTGGTTTTTTAATAAACAATTTAATAGTTTCTTTCAAGATGTACTGATTCAACAATGGGCCCTCGAAGATTATTGGTACTGTTTTAAATGGCAACATAGGGAAGTGTACACGTATATAGGATAGGCAAGATTAAAAAGGCTCCCGTTATTAATTAGAATGAAATAAAGTCGAACAAAAATGAAATGAATAACGTAATTCAATATATCGATTCAATGGTCACTACAATTAACCTGAATATGAACGCAGACATACCTGAATGACATCACTGTCAAAAAGCCAGAGAAGAAATCGATGATGGTTTTCAGGATTACATTGAACTAATTAACAAGCTACAACGCTATACACGTTGCAGTCTATCGTATTGCATTTGAGTCAATCAATCATCAGAACAATAACTATGCCAATTCAGATATCCAAAGGACCATTTAGATCATACATTAATACGAGAAGATGATAAAGGACAGCTGAAACTCTTAACTGTGTGTAATGATTCACTTATTAATCCTCATAATAGATTACAATTGCAGGGTTGGCAGGCGAATATCGATCTAAAACCAATTCTCAGCATATACGCAACTTTGCAATATATAGCAAAGTATACAAGCAAAGGAGAACCTAGGTCAATGGTTTTTTTGAGATTTTCAATAAGATTTTTAACGATAATTCCGATGATGCTTCACTCACATCAATACAGAAACTGCTACTGAGTAGTATTGCAGAACGGGACATATCAGCATGCCACCTTCTGTTAGGTATTCCGTTATACCATTCTAGCTGTACATTTGTTTCTTTAAATGTCAACAATGAATTTGCGAGGTGGGTTCAGGACTCAGGAAGTGGAGACAACAGAGAGGAAGGGAGGACTATACAATCAGTTTTATAACGATACTGGAATAGAACTGAAAATTTTGAAGAATTTTCGTTATTCAAATTGCATTTAACACATAAATTGGTTAAAGGGAATTGGTTAATATGCAAAACCAAAAATATTGTTCGCATATGGCCACGACCATCAGCTCTTCATAACAGAGATGAATGAAAAGAGTACTGTCAGGTAAAGGTTATCCTTCACATAAAGCACAGAAGCCTTCAACAATTAAGAGAATCTGACAGTGTGTCTTGGTCATCAATTTATTATCAATATCTTGATGTAATTAATAATGATCTGGTTGACTTGCTTGGACCGCCTATTGATAATAAAGAAGAGATTCTAGATGAAGAAAGCCAAGACGAAGTGCTTGAAGACGATGAGGAAGAGAAATTTAGGTATAATTGGATGCGTCTTACTGAAATGGGACTAAACATAAATATAGTATCTTCATCTGATCTAGATTCTCGAGACATGGATAGGAATCACGATTGGATTAATGACACCCAACAACGGTATTCTTCTGATGACATTAAAAAAGTGCACAACTTCATCAACGAAGCTTCAACTGATGCCATAGACGATTTAGGAAAAGATGATTCTGTCGATTATGAAAATCTAAATGAAAAGCAAAAAACTATCTTCAATAGAATAGAATCACATTATAGTAGCATACTCACGGGTAATTCAGTCGAACCATTAAGGATAATAATTATGGGTACAGCAGGCACAGAAAAATTATATCTCATCAGGGTAATACGAAAGAGGCTAAGTATAATGGAAAGCAGTGAATTTAAAGTACCAGTGAAAGTGATCGCATCTACAGGAGTCGCTTCTTTTAATATTAACAGTTCGACAATACATTCAACACTGTTAATACCAATTATCAATAAAAAAAGCTCAGATTTAGATGGTAAAAGGCTTAAGCAATTACAAGAAAGATTAAAAGATGTAATTTACCTTATTATTGATAAAAAAAACATGGTAGGAAGGAGAATGCTTGGTTTAATCGACAAAAGATTAAGAGAAGCTTTTCCTGAAAACAATAATGAACTTTTCGATAGATGGTCTATCATCTTGTTTGGAGATTTCAGACAGCTTCCACCAGTGATGGACCTTCCTATATATACCAAAGACGTTTCATACGATACAACTTCCAATGATGGTACAGCATCATACAAAAATTTCTGGGAGGTGTATAAGCTCAATATGATTCAACGTCAATCAGGTGATTCAGAAGAACAAAAACCCTTTAGAGAGATTCTTTTAAGATTACGAGATGGAGATTGCAGCCTAGATGATTGGAAAAAACTCAGTGTACGCTTTGAAGGGAAATTAAACAAGATAGAATGCAATAGATTTTCAGATGCCATATTCATCCTTACTACTTGGAATGACGTAGATAAAGTTAATATAGATATGCTGAGATCGTTAAACTGTTCAGTAGCCAAGATTCTTGCGGTTCATGATGGAGGTTGTAAAGCTCAAAAGCTGACTCAGACATCGCAAAAGAACTCAAAGCACAGTTGTTATTGGTCAAAGGTGCACATGTCATGCTGACGACTAACATATGAACTGAAGGAGGGTTAGTAAATAGGTCAATGGGAACTATACATGATATTATATTTGTAGAAATTAGACTTACTTCACTACTAGCAGCAGTTTTCGTAAATTTGATCTTTATGAAGATTCTAGTATTACAACACCAGAAGGAGACAATGTTGTCCTGATCATTCCTATTAAACGCATCTGGGAAAGTAAATCTGGAAAGTTGTATTCTCAATTTTAGGTTCCATTATGTCTCGCGTGGGCAATAACAGTACACAAGAGCCAAGGGCTTATGTTACCGAAGGCCAAAATAGATCTTGGAAGTCGAGAGTTTGCTGCTAGTCTTTCATTCGTTGCAGTGTCAAGAGTTTGTTCGCTTAATGATATTTATTTCAAGCAGTTTACTTATGAAAGACTTCAACGGATTCAGAGTTGCATAAGATTACAAGAAAGAAAGGTTGAAGAAAAATGACTAATTTCTATGATATTGAGAGTGAACAACTGAATTTTTTTTTTAATTTTTAATTTTTTTTAGCGGTTTTACAATTTTATTTTAGTTTAGCAGTATAATTTATTTGAGTTTAAGCGGTACAAAACGTAAATAAATAACGTGCTATTTTTACTAATTTAGAATTTGTACCGATCAACTCAATTATTGAGTGGGAGGAATATGAACATTTGAGTCAAACAGCGTATAGAATTATATAGTCCTTCGCTATGCTCTGGACTAATAAAAATAGCTATTCCCGCTTACAGTTTTTTATACAAAATTCATTCATCTTAACAGTTCACAAAATCCAAGGATTAACCCTACCAAGGGTCTCTCTTGCATTAGATGAAAACATTTTTACTTCTGATCAGGCTTATGTTGCATTCAGCAGGTGCTCTACTTGGGATAATGTTGAGATATCTCATCTTAACAAGTCAGCTTTTATAACCAATCCTGAAATTATTCTGAAATACCAAAAGTTGACTGCCATTTCAGAAACAGATCTTCACATATTTTTACAACTTCTTATGCAATCCAATTAAATAAAATAACAAAAGAAGGATAGTATTTATTTGGCTTAAGATATGCATAATTTACATTGTAACTGAATGTTCAAGTGTAAAATAAATAGAACAATGAAATATCAGAAAAAAAATAATTACTTTATTTAAATTACATATTTAAATTTAAGTCTTAAAAAATTAATAAGATGCTACCACACTCATACTATATGTGACACAACCATAATCGTGCGAATCTTGTGATCACGCTGGTGATCCGGTGGGTCTGGTAAAATGTACTGGCTAGTTAATAAAAAAAATCATTATAAGATACATTTTTTAATATTTATAATGTTTATTAATAAGGTTTTATGTTAAAATTAAATATGATAATCTATTTTTAAATAATTTGCTAAATTACTTTGTAGTTGATAATGAAGATTTTAATACTGGCGGTTTTATGCCTAATAATGGATATAATCTATTTCTAGTTTCCTTTAGTTGTGATACGGGCTCATTCCTATTTAAAAGATAACTGTGTTAAAAAAGATATATTTTCATTTTACATTTAAAAATAAACAAGACTAACCAATCCGTATTTGTTAATATTTCTTCAATTTCCAAAGACTCTTCGGTTTCTTCTTCAACAGATCCAGTAAGTGTTAAATATAATTGTTCTGCTGTACTTCTTCGAATCTGTTAGAATATGATTAATTAGTTTTAGTTTCATTTAATAAGTTGTTACAAAAATTTATAAACATATTTACCTTTGGAAATGGGTGAACTAATAAACTAAGTAATTGATACAATGCTTTATTTCGCACTGTGCCGCTCAATGAAATCATTCCGCAAAATCTAAAACAAATTATTTTATTTTTTCTAAATTAATTTTTTTTAAAAAAAAAGGTTATAAATCTTCACATTACTTACACTTTCATACAAGCAGTCAATTTTCTAATATCTTTACATTTAGTAACCTCTTTCTTCACACATTCAAATAAATCCAAAAATTGCTTTTCATTAGTGATCTTTTGTAGTGTGCAAGCCTCAAATAATAAATCAATCACTTCAAATAATGGTATTATTATTCTATCTTGTTTCTGAAAATGTTGTGCTATGTCCAGTAATGATTTTGCAAATTCCGTTAATGATACATTTAATTCCGATGAAGATACAGTAGAAGAATCGATTGGTAATGTACTTGCATATTCAAGTAATTTACTACTCGAATATCGAACTAAGGATTCAGAAATTCCTCCAGCTGAAAGGACCAATCCTGTAAGTAAATCAAATCTATATTCAGGTATAACCAATAATTTCACCATTCTAGGATATAATTCTGATGGACTTATCCAATGTATTTCTTCATCTCTACAAATATAAAACAATACTATTTTAACAAAAAAATAATTAACAATTAATTAATACATTTTCACTCACTTTGGCAAAACTTTTTGTAATACATCTCTTCCCGGTATTTCAATAACCCAACAATCTCCTTCTTCTTTCTTCATATACAAAAGCTCCAATAAAATTCTACCAGCACAAGACCTTACTCTATCAATTCTCTCAACACTTTGTTTTAATATATTATTAAATATTCTTGCATTTAATTCAGTCTTCCACCATTGTTTATTTGTTGAAATTGAATCTAACTTAATTATAAGTGGAATAATTTCGAAAAATCCAATCATACTAGCTTCTCTTATCCAACTTCCAATATCTCCTCTTGAATCTGTATTATAGTCCTCAAGTCCCATGAAATACGCATTAATTATTTTTTCAAACATTCTTTCATTACCAACTATATAAATAATAAATTTAAAAATTAAAAAAAAGTTCTTAAATTATAAATAAAAAGTTTAATTAATTAATTTAAATAAAATCACCAGTTTTAAAGCTCTCTCCCAAATTCTTGAAAATTTTTGTCAATGATAAAATTGAGTTCCTTCTAGTTTCCGCATCGTTCCATATTTTTGTTTCCTTAAAATCAATAAAAAATCATTATATATTCTATCATGCAGTCTTATTTGTTCAAAGCATATACAAACCTGTATAGTAGCGGATAATATTAAAGCATCTATTACAATTTCTAAATAATTTTCAACATCTTTATTATTAAATCTAATTACGCCCAAAGCTAATGAAAATCCCCTTCTTGCATATGCGTTCTTTGCTGGATGTACATGTCCTATATATGTATTAAAGAATTAAGGACATAATAACTAATATCATTATATTAAATATTTATATAAAAGGATATTTTTCAATTTCCTGTCCAGTAATTCCATATTGAATAATAAGTGCTTCAACAGCATTAGCAGCAATTTCTTGTCCAAATTCATCTTTTCTTCCTAGTAGATCATACACAACAAATTTCCATTTTTCCAATATATCTTCATTAATTGGCCATCCTCCTTTTGCTAAACATGCTATATAATGTGCTGCTGCTTGAATTGTAATTTCTGATCCGAAATCTGTAAACACGTGTTTTGGCAATAATCCAATTATATTCGATATTTGCTAAAAATTGAATTTTTTTAATTTGCTTGGAATTTTCTTTTTTTTTTTTAAAAAAAAAAAACTTTTATAAAAAAGATTTATATTACCGAAACCAACGAGTTGTATTCTTCAATCCAACCTTTATGATTTCCTTGAATATTTGACCACGCTAAACAAATTTCTCCTATTGATAATAATGCTCCATGTCTAGTATGCATGTCAGGTGATAACGCTTGTGGTATCTAAAAAAAATTTTTTTTTTTGAAAACAATTTAAATTAAATTTCAGTTATAACAACGATGTCTAAAAGAAATTGACATACAAGTGAAGGAAGGACTTTGTTTATCATATAATCAAGATCAAGTCGAGTAAGGTTATGTAATGCTTTTGATCCTAACTCCCTCATAGTTTTGTCCCAATTTGAGATTGTTATTGTACTGAGATGATCAATTAAATGATATCTGTACTCTTCAAACCTGATTTTAATTATACCATATAAATATTTTAATGTAGGTAAATAAATAAAATAAAATCTTGATTTAAATTATACTAACTCTGCAATTTTCACACTAATTTCCAAAAAAGCATTAACCTTGTTTCCTACGGTAAAATAATCGGCCGAGGTAACAATATCAATACCATGAGGGAAAATTCCCTATAAAATAAAAATGATATAAATGATAATAAATAATAATAAATTCAATTAAGAATAAATAATGATAAGATCAATTTTACAACAATTACCTGACGACCAACATTCTCTTGAAAAGCTGCACTGCTTGCACGTCTAACGTTAACTTCCCGATCAAATACTGAGACAACCACAAGACTATTTGCTAACTCCGAAACATAAGGTGTTAAAATTTCTGGTGCATAAGCACGAGCAAATGACCAGCATACATAGCATGCTGCATCTCTCACATGTGCTCCAATTGAATGTGCTCCACGTTTCAAATCAAATTTTAACGCCTGATTGAATAAAAAGAAATCAATAAAATACATACTTTGTATATATATATTATGTTACATAACTCACCTTGCTAATCCAAGGAATAACTTCAGATAACCTTTCAGGTAATAACAATCCTCTTCTTGCCAATTCAGCTACAGCTAAACAAACTCCATGCCAAGTATTATCTGATACTGCAGACACTTCGAGGACACCATTACGAGTATAAGTATTCTCTGAAAATAATTCAAATAATGAACCTATCACATCGTCACTAAGCTCTTGAGGTAGTCTCATTGATAATCTTCCAATTCCCTTAGCGGCAGACCAACGAACAACAGTATGCTATTAAAAACAAAGAATTAAATTTCTGCTTTATAATAAAGGAAATAAATCTTATAACTCACATTATTGCGTAAACCATTTAACAAAATTTCAATTATTTCTTCAATTTGTTCTGGTATTTCCCCCTCCTCTTCCCCGTCTTCTTTAAGTGATTGATGGATATTAGAGGGATTAATTCCTGTAGTATTGTTACTGGATACTTTTAAATTATCCTTAAGAGTTCTATTTCCTAATAAATTTAATTAAGATACTTTTAACTCGATTAAAACATAATTATAACGAAATTAAATTTTGATTAATAATGACCTCTTTGATATCTCCAAGAGGCAACTTTAGGTTTTAAATAACACATTCCAAATCTTTGAGCTAATTTAACCAACATTTTTCTGACCAAAGCATTATTAGAAAATGTTTCATTTTCTTCAAGTAAAAATAAACATGGCCAAGCTTGCTCAAGTGTAGGAAGTAAAGTTTGTCTTTGGCCTAACTTATAAATTGCACAAAGTGAAGTGAGAATACCAGTAATCTATAGAATGTTAAAAAGTTAAATATATATTTGTTAAAAGATATTTAAATAAGAACATGTACCCACCGTAAATACATCTTTAACATTTCTAACTTCAATTACTGCCCATTGGACATAATCTTTTAAATATGCTTCAGCTATATCCCGTCTATAATTAATGGAGTTTAGACTACATTACTTTTAATTAAAATCAATTTAGGATCGTTCAAACCTTGTCAATAATCTAGATAAAAGTACAGCGGCACCATCTCTCTCTTTACCAGTAGCTTTCAAATAAAATTTTGATAAATCAATCATATGATCTACCAAAGGAAACTGAGCATTCAAATTTTAGCTTAATCAAATAGCCTAAGTAAATAAAAAAAAAAAACCATTTTCAAAATTATTGAATTAGATTATACATATCAATTTACCTTATTACTTTCATCACCACTTACTCTACTATCAACTGTTTTTAGATCAAAAGGTATAATACATATAAGGGATAACCAAATTAGTAAAACGTATCTAGTTTCCCAAGTTTCGTAACTTTTTGGATCTAATGCTACCAAAAAATAAAATGTCGGTTCTAAATCTGAAACTTCATGAGTAAAAAATTTTACTTATAACCAGCAAAAAAGTTAAAAGTTAGTAAGTTAAATTTGAAAGTTAAAAAAATGTAAAATAAAGAAAGTGTTACCAATGGTTTTAAATCCACGTATTTTCATAATATAATACATAAGCCTAAAAAATCTTTGTATCTTATTTGGAATTATAATAAATTCTCCATTTTTATTGTCAGTATATGAAATATTTTTTGAGAGAACTACATTCTGAGCATTGATTGATTTAATATAAATTCTTAATAATTCAATTATGGGTTTAACCATGGCCTCTAAATGTGGATCAAGTAGATATGGTTGTTCTTGAAATGGTTCAATCTTAAAATCGATGTTTTTATTCATCAAAAAATACATGAAATCAATAAGATTACAAAGAACTTTTTATAGAATATGAAAATTAACGCAATTTATTAATTAAAAACTCTTTTACGTACGAAAGAAATAGCTTTTCTTAAGATTCTTTCATGTTCAATGTCTTCTTCTACGGAAGGATCCTCTTTAGATGATACGGGTTTTAATAAATTATTTAAAGCTTCAAAAAATTCATTCGCATGCATAAAATGCGATAATTGTGACGAATTTTTAACATATGTATCTTCTTCTAACTCTTCTGAACTTCCGCTTTTTTCAAATATCTCATATTCCATTTGCATTTTGATTAATTTAAAAAAAAAATATATTTTTCGGATTAGATCGAAATATTCAGTCGGGTTTTGATCAGTCCCAAATTTGTGAAATCATTGGCTAAAACATATTTACCTTGATCAACTAAAAGTAAATTTGTACCAATATAATTTTTATCCGCAAACCCTCTGAAATTAAAAAATAAGCCTTATCAAAAATGATCGGGATAATAAGGCTTCTGGTCGTGCGTTCCTTCATTTAACTTCTAGAGACAAACTTATTGTCTAAAGATTGTTGATTAACACACTTATCAGATATATATAATGATCTTGATTTCAACGGAATCAAAAATAGAAAATATCCTTATTCATATCATAACAAACCACTTGTATCAATGAAATCAAAAGGAGAAAAGAATAAAAATATTATAATAGATGAAATTGTATTCAATATGAATCAGATATTAATATTTCTGAACCTTTATAGCAATTCATTCATTATTTACAAAAGAAAATGATAAATTCAAGTTCAATGATAAAGAAATAATAATTAATTAAATAAAACCCTTAAAACTTTCACTAATTTACAATAGTTTTTTAAAACTTAATGTTAATAAAAAACAAAATTCTAAGAGTATAATTATATTTATCAAATATTTCTTTATTATTAAAAAAGGTAAACTATCCTTCTTTTCTTACTTTTTTTAATGATAAATATAAAGATCTAAAATTAAGTTGAAAAATAAAATTAATTCTTAAATAATAGTTAGAAATATCATAACATATATTACATAAATCAAGAAATTTAAGTAAAAGAGTTTATTATAAAAATCAAATTTTTAAAATAATAATATTTTATATTAATATAAGATCAATAAGTATTTAAATTTATATTAAAACTACCTAGAAAAATAATTTAAAATCAGATTTTAATCTATCTTTAATATAAATAAGAATATCTTTATATAGGGTTTTTGCAATAGAAAGGGAGGAAACTCCAAAAAAATTAAAATTTTAGTTTATAAGCCAAAAATATTCTAAATACTATAATTTGTTCAGATTTATTATTAACTCATTTTTTATTTTTTTTTGAGTTTCCTCCCTTTCTATTGCAAAGGCCTCATATAGTTTTTTTTTAAATACAAAATATATAAAGTTCAATATGTTTAATTAAATAAAAATAAATTTATTAATAAAAAAAAATTATTAAATATGTTTAATATAAGTATTTATATCTAATAAACTAACTTTAATATAATAGTATTCTAAAAGAAAAATAATTGAAATTATATTAATAAATTATGTCATTTTTATTAATCTATATTAAATTAAAAAAATTTTTATTTGTCAACTTAGAAGTAATTTTTTATTTACAACTATTAAATTTTTGACAAATTAAAATATGTGATAAGTCATGTAATTTGTGACTATGCTAATCAGGCTGTATTATGATGACTAATAGTGAAATTTTCAATAATTTTTTTTTAACTGATATTTATAACAATAAAAAACTTTTGAAAATCATTTTTTTTTACTTGTGAATAAATTATAAATATACTCTTTAATCATAATTTTTTTATTAATGATATAGGTACAATAATGATTTAAAGTAAAATCTGATGATTGAAAAGAGCTAAGCTCAAATTACTACTTTAATTTAAGCCAATCAGCTTGAATTACAGTAGTAATTTGAGCTATAATCAATAATAACTTAATGAAATATACTCATTTTTGCATATGATAAATAAATATCAATATAATTAATATTAAAATAAGAATAAATTATAATTTTATAATAAAAGTTTTATATAGTAACCTATTTTATAGTATCTTTTTCAAGTTTTAATGCTTTAATTTCTTAGTTCAAATTAGCAACTTTTTGTAATGATATATTTATTATATTAATTTTATCTAACCAAATAGTTTTATATTTATTACTAAGGTTGCTAGATAAAACTTAAAGGTTTTGCAAGTTATCTAAATAAAAAAAGATAAAATTTAGCAAAATTATATTAAAACTTTATTAAAAAATTTGCAAAATTCTGAAAAAGATAAAATTATATCAAAGCTTATAAAAATGTAAAATTATATCAAAACTTTAGTAAAAATTTAGTAAAACTATAGTTTAAATATTTTTACTAAATCTAAAATGAGTTTAGACAAGTAATCTTGTTTATTATTATTTTTAACAGATAATTTAATTTTTTTATTTGCTACTCAGTACTTATGTTTTTTAAATTCTAGTAAAAGAATTTTCTAGTTATCAAAGTTTTATCAATATTTCTATTAATCATATTTGTAAGTATTTTATCATATAGATTTTAAAATATAATCTTAATTATACAATTGTTTAAAAAAATTTATGTTTTTTTTATATATATAATCTCTATAATTTTTTGTCTTTTTTTTTTGTTAAGATTTTTTACATTTATATATAAATTTAAGTTTTTCATAAATTATTTGATGTTTTATATAATTTTATTTTATCTAATAATAATATTATAAGTATATCTCATCAACTCAAATTATTTCTTTAAGATTGTTTACTATAAATAATTTAAATATATTTTGATTGATAATGTTTAATTTACTATTATTTTAGTTTTTTTTTTTTACTTTATATATTTATTGTTTTTATTATTTTTTATTTTTTATTTTCTTTAGTATATAATTACTCTTTTTCTTTGTATTTTATAAATGAAAATAGTGTTAATTGCAAAAATATTTTAAAAAGTTTAGCTTATCAGAAATTCTATTATTGAAGAAAACTATGAGTATTATAGTATAGAAAAGAGTATATACTAGATAAAGTTAAAGACAAACTGGTAAAATTGATCATAATAATTATAATAGTTAATTAAAATTTCTAAAACTATTCTATGATTTGTCCGTTTTAATAAGATCTTAAATTTTTATCATTTGAAGTTAACACCTATATCAGGAAGTTTGAGAAGTATTGATTAACTCCAACATATATATTAATTAACATTATATATAAATTAAAATATATTATATAATACTATATAATACTATATAATAAAGTCTATTAATACATATTATTAATATATGTATTTTTAATATTAACAGTTATTTGACGTATTGTACATTATTATATAATATCATATATAAATGTATTTATTGACTGATTATTTTATATATACTATATAAGTTATATTAGTTATATAAAATCAAAATTAGTATTACAAATTTTAAAACTTATATTTATTAAAAAAATATTCATTTTGTATTTTAGCATATTAAATTACTTATACTAATTTTATAATTAATTTTATAGACATAAATTATACAAGTTTGTAAATTATAATAGTAAAAAATTATATTTGTATAAACATTGATTATTATTTTATAGTAAAAATCATATTATCATATAAATGTAAAATCAAAAAATTAATAATCTTAAATTTTAATATTAATTAATATGAGAATCAAAATATTTTGTAAAATAATTAAATTATTACAATTTGTTAATTTTTTATTCTATTAAATAAAATAAATATTAATTTGTGAAAATATATACCTTCATTTAAATTATACTCTTTAGACTCTTTTTCATTTATATTATCACTAGGTTCATTTTCAATTATTTTAACATCTAAGTCAAAAATCTGTGATAATTAATTCTATATATTAGAGTTTCTAATTTTAGGATTTTCTTTAAATTTTATGAATATTCATTATACTTGAATTAACTCAGCAATTTATTACATTTTAGAATTTAAGATATAGTTAGTCAAACTTATAATAATAAACTTAATAGTAAATTAGTGTAGAATATCATAATAAATTTAAGATAAGAAATAACATTGAAGAAAAAAGTAATTTGTATCGATTTAAATTAATTTCTTTATTAATATCTTAAAACTTGAAGAAACTTATAAATAAGTTAATTTACAATTTAAGCAAAAAGCTATTTTATTTATACAAAATTAATTTACTATAACTAACTATTTTGTTACATTATAAACTAATTATTTTAGTAAATTTTGACTATAAAATAATAATAAAAGATAATAAAATAAAGATATAAAATATAAAATAAATAATATAAAATAAAAAAATAAATAAATATAATGAAAACTTTTTAGAATAAAAAGTTGTTTATTATTATAAATATGGATAAGATTCATAGAATTAGATGAATTTAGTTGATTAGATAAATAATATAAATCCTTAGTATTTTTTTGATTTATCTATTGTAGTAATTGTTAATTATTATTACGCATTATTATCTAATAGTTCCTATATGATATTTTCTACACTTATGATAATATATATTTCTAAAATTAATAATATAGACTAATATATTACTAATTGATAGTTTATTATAATGTCTATTTTCATTCTAATAATATCACCACTTAAAATAATATTAGTATAGTTATACTAGCTAATTTTGACATTTTTTTGTATTAGATAACCTTTCACATAAATCTAAAATTTATTTAATAATAAAAAAATTAATTAGAGCTATTAAAGCTTCATAAGCTAAAATATTATTAACTTATAATTATTAAAAAATTCATTAAAAAAGATGCTGAATAAACTATTCATTAGGAATTTTTATTAATATTGATTATTAATATCAACTGTATATTGATGCAAGTATTTAGCTATTAATTTTTAATAAACCTATAATAATCAATTGAATAAAACTAATATTAGTTTATAATAATTATTATGATATTAACTGATTTAATTATTTGATCTAATAGATCATACTTATTACTAGATTTGTATGTTTTTTTGATAATATCTTTATGCAGAATTTTATAAATCTTTATCATAAAATCTATTAATTGTTTTATATTTTTAAATTGTTATATTTATATAGTAATCTTAATTGTATAACTTAGTAAATAAAGTTTAGTTAGTGAATATTTTTTAAATAGTTTATAAAAATTGTTGCCTATTATAAGATTATATATTACAACAAATAAAAGTTAATTGCTAATTATAATAATATATATGAATATACTAATTAATCATCTTACTTCAAAAATCTTTAATTC